CGGACGTTCCTGAAGGGTGTAACGCAACGGTCGAAGCTGTCAGTGTCAGCGAGTAAGCGTCTGGCAACACGATCGAAGGAGCGGACTTCCGGAAAAAGGAGAAAAAAAGGCAGTGCAAGCAAGCAGTGAACACGCAAGATTTTGCTACAAATAAAATTTGTTTTCCTATTACTACAATAATTAAACTATATTGAGCTAAAGTAGGGATAAAGGTAACTTGTTTATAACTAAAATTTCCTTATGTAGACTAAAATTAATTGCCTTAAAAATATTGATTCCTAGTTCAGTGAGACCTAACCTAACTTAACCTAAATTCGGATAAAAGGCCCTAGATCACGAAAGGCCACTGATTAGTAAGTACTGTTGAAGAATTATATAAACTTAAACTAATTGTAACCCTCCCTAGCTTTGAAGCTGTAACGATAATAAAACCGCTATCAAAATCAGTGCGGGCTTTTTAATCCGACCGACGCAACACAACGCTTTTGGAAAATGCTTGACATTCCACTTTTTCAATAGTTTCTTGTTGAAAATCAACAGTTGAAAGAATTGCTATCGATGCGTAGAAGTATTCTGATCGATTGATGATAAAATTATTGAAATTTATCCAGGGGCAGCTGAGTTATTAACGTTCAAAATATTTCATAATTTCGTTACATGTTCCATTTTCGGTTTTCACAAAGTGTACCCCCATACAGAAATCACAGACGTAGTCGTACGTCAAAAAAAAAAACAATGGCACTGACTGACACTGATTCGCAAAATTTTTCAAGAAGATTATGTGAACTGAACAGAACATAAGTGGAACTTCGGATCAGAACTCCAACTTTTCATTGGAGAACACAGTGCACCTAGCAGTAGAAGGCATCTTCTGCCTGCAGTTAAGATATGCAGCACGCTATGATAGTGTGAGTGCGCATAGCAAGCCCGTGTGGAACGCTACCACCAACAATCAATACGAAACTAACGATTTTAAATTGGCTCACCACTTTAGTAGCCTATTGGTCCCAAGCAAACGATTAACGTACCCTATTCTAGTTGAAATTCTATTACTACACTATGTTTGTTTTGATTCGCTATGAAAGTTTGACAGATAACATCAGGGTTGTGTGGATTCATGCAGAACATGCAGGGGTGAGTGAAATAGCTTGGGACTGCTTGGGACCGTTGTTCTGGTACTGAGTGATCCAAAAATAATAATGATTTTCTTCGGGACCCAGTGGTCTTAGAGTTACCTCTATGCTACCACTACGCATCACTTGTTGAGCAGAAAAACGTACCACTTTTTGATTCACCGATTTGTTTGCACTTCCCCTTCTGTTCTGTGCGTCCATAGTCACTTGAAAATTTTTAAACACGAGGTGGTGTAATCCTATAGGATTATATAGGGGAAATTACGGCTTCGGCATGACAGACTATTTTCGGCAACACAAATTGAAATACTATTTTCACTGGATTTTCTTACGAAAACACTTCGCTGAATGCATGCAAACGATTCTTTATGCTTTCAGCTTCAATTTGACTATAGTTTTACCACTGAGAAAAAGCAATCTAGCAAGGTTTTCTTGAAATGCAACACACGCACTACTAATTGTAGCTGATTTCGAGTTGCCGATAATAGAACAGTAGATTTACATGCAGTTCAAATGGAACGGTTGCCGAAGAAAAACTGGTTGCCGACAATACACGCTCTCACTAGAGAAGATTGGAGCTTTATAAATGCGTTTCAAAACAGTTTTTGACAATTCTTTCGACTGAAATTGTTAGAGCAGCTGGCAGCAAAAGATTGCAAACAAACCAATACTGCATATGTGTGCGTTCCTTAGTGAAAAAGGCTATAGAAAGAAGGTCGCTGCTTAGGTTGCCGAGAATACGTAAATTCCCCTATATGATCTATATGGAGATAAAAAAAAATTAAGATGCAAATTGGTAACTTGTTTAAAATGCTGGATTGCCAAGGCAGAAAAAATGTCAAAACACTTAGATAGGGTTAACTACCCCATTTCCGGCCTATTAAGCACAACCCGCACTTAGTCGTTCTTAATCTAGCGCAGTTTAGCACCAAACGGTATGTTATTATTACTCACGGCTTTCAAATTTATTTACCTTTCCGTACGTACCGTACACTGCAAATAAAATTCACGTAATTTTCACCTGAAAAGGTACGTAGATATTTTCCATCGTACCTTTCAGGTGAATATTACGTGTTTTGGGAATGAAATCCAGTTTAAGTGATGCATATAAAAATCAAGTGATTTTCACGTAAATGTTACCGGACCTACAGATGATATTCAAATTGGCAACACTTAAAAGTTACGTGAATTTTCAAGTAAGGTTCACAGGGTTTTATAGTTATATTTAAATGAGTTTATGGTAAATTTCGATTTATTTTTTCATGAAGTATATGAAGCCAGTTATTTTGGTGACACATTTATTTTCCAAATGTATAAAAAATAAATAATACAAATACAACAAAATTTTGTATTTAATTGGTGCGCCACCTATTTCATGATTTCACTTGATCTGCTGCCTGTTTTTTCCTCATCCTGGGGTGGAACTGCATCTATAAGGACTCACGTTTTTTACTTCAGGAAAGGGCTTCAGTTTCTGGGAGCTCGGTATTTTCATTAAGATCGCTGATTTCTGTATAAAATAATAGAAAGTGAAAATTGATCATCATTCTATTTTTTTTTCAACGTAAATAGTTGATTCTTACCATTTATTTAGCCAGGAACTGATGATCTGGAAGCTTTCCAAAAATCCCCCATTTGCTGGAATAATCATATAGTTCGCCAATTGAAATTATAAGTAGCCCAAATAATCTAGCAAACGCTAGGATTAATAAAAATGAAATTTTTTTTTCTGAATTCCAATGAAAGTTAAAAACTGGGCTGTCTGGCAATCCAAAATCTTCCAACAATGGGGAATGCCTATACTTTCTTCTGTCGCCAACTTGAACTTCGAGGTTACGCACAGAACATTTTCTCACCATGAGATCACGTAAAATGTATGTGAATTTCACATAACCTTCACCAGCATGACACATGGACTCGACCAGTAATCCAGTAAATTTCATCACCATGTCGTTAAATTTTACGTGTAGCATGTAAATCTTATTAAAGGGTGATACGGTCAAAATTTGGTCAAGGGAAAACGCGTGTAAATCGGTGAAATCGTTTATTTAAAAAATCAAATTAAATTTCTTTTTCAAGTTCAATTAGTATAAAATTCAGGAAAAATATTCAGTTAGGCTTCCGCTTTTCCAAATCCGAATTGCCGGGCCTTACGCTTGACCCCTGCCATCAGATTTTGTACAGCCACCTTGTCCACCTTCTTCGCCGCAGAAAGCCAGTTTGCCTTGAACTGCTGTTCGCCCTTAGCAGTTTTTTTGGTCTTCTTTAGGTTCCGCTTGACAATAGCCCAGTATTTCTCAATTGGGCGGAGCTCTGGCGTGTTGGGAGGGTTCTTGTCCTTGGGAACCACCTGCACGTTGTTGGCGGCGTACCACTCTATGGCCTTTTTACCGTAATGGCAAGATGCCAAATCCGGCCAAAACAGCACGGAACAACCGTGTTTCTTCAGGAAAGGCAGCAGACGTTTATTCAAACACTCTTTCACGTAAATTTCTTGGTTGACAGTCCCGGAAGCTATGAAAATGCTGCTTTTCAAGCCACAGGTACAGATGGCTTGCCAAACCAGATATTTCTTTGCGAACTTTGACAGTTTCATGTGCTTGAAAACATCTGCTACCTTTCCCCTTCCTTTTGCCGTATAAAACTCCTGTCCCGGAAGCTGCTTGTAGTCGGCTTTGACGTAGGTTTCGTCGTCCATTACCACGCAGTCAAACTTCGTCAGCATCGTCGTGTACAGCCTCCGGGATCGCGCTTTGGCCGTCGTATTTTGTTTATCATCGCGATTTGGAGTCACTACCTTCTTGTAAGTCGATATTCCGGCTCGTTTTTTGGCTCGATGCACGGTTGTAGACGATACACCCAGCTTATTTGCGGCATCTCGGAGAGAGAGGTTAGGGTTTCGCTTGAAACTACCGGCAACTCTCTTTGTCGTCTCAGCGGCTTCCGGTTTTCGATTTCCCCCCGATCCAGACTTCCTGGCTGTCGACAAACGTTCCCCAAACACTTTAATTACATTTGTAACGGTTGATTTGGCAACTTTTAGCGATTTTGCCAACTTTGCGTGCGAGTAGCTCGGATTTTCGCGATGCGCGAGAAAAATTTTGATACGCTGCTCTTCTTGCTTGGACGGCATTTTGACAACTGAAGAGTGAATTCCAAAATCAAAATAGGAGCAACATTCTACACACACACACCTTCAAAATGAGGGGTGTTCAGGTTTTTTAAATGCAAAATTGAAAGAAATACGTCAAGTTGATATTGACCAAATTTTGACCGTATCACCCTTTATATTCTTGGTTTTAAGAAGTCACCTACATTTTCAGGTAAAATTTACGTTTGTCATAGGTTCAGTGTAAGATTTGATAAAGAGAAACCAACCGTTGACATATTTTCAAAAGTCTAACACTGCTTCGTGACGCCAAACTCGGCCTAACGCATTGAAACGCCAATGAATTCACTTCGGCCTATATCGTATGAAGATAAAAATTGATTCGGTCGGAGCGCTTCTTTTGTTTTTGGAAATTATGGCTGCAAACCTTCATATCACGCGTTCTCATTGACTTCATTCGGTAGCTTATTAACTAAAGTATCGTACCAAACGCATAATTGACTTGTTAACTCTGAAATCATGGATTTATTTGAAGTTTTCTGCTCGATATCCCAAAATGGGCGATTAGGCCGAAGTAGTTCCTACCCTATATATCATGCACTGAAGCAATTTATTTTGAATTTGGAACAAATTAAAAAAATATATTTCTCTTAAAGAGACAGGAGCTCATTGGTTTTCTTAGTTCGGAGAAAAAGGGGAACTACCGAACAAGATAAGGGGAGTATGTGTGTGATGAAAAATCATGGTTTACGGTAAAAGAGATGGTTGTACAATTTTATTAACCTTTCAAATCAGTAGAATTTCTGTCTTCTGGTGTGTGAACCAGTGGCATCGTGGTTCTAAAGGTGAAACAACGCAAAAACAACCTAAAATGTGTGAATATACTTCTTATACCACAGGATAAAGCTTTTAAAGTAAATTGCGACATACGCTACCATTAAATAATCACAGCAAACACAGTTCTCATGGAGCTGACCATTGGCTTAGATTTAATTTTAATTTCAAAATGCTGATTTATTTTACGTTGAAATTCTATTACAGCTCAGTGTGTTGCGCTTCTTGGTTGGAGGAAGCATCTCCTGAAAATGTGTAAGATTAAAAATGTTAATTGCAAATTTCGACCGGCCTTACCGACAACTTACCTTGGGAATGTGAAATCTGACCAGCCTCGTGTTCAAGTTCGTCCACCTTAGCTTGAAGTCGTTTTATCTCCGTGTCGTAGTCTTTCCATTCGGGCACGAGTCTTTGGGCCGCGGTCAGTTTAGCCTCCTTTGTCAGAGGATTATTGCAAAGATCAATGGTCTTTGCGTGTTGCAGTGTATCGCTACTGCACCAGGTTTCGCACCATAACCATTCCTGGGGCAGAGATTTAATTGCAACCTGGTGTATCATATTATTTGGCAAATCTTGATCCAGATTCGACAAACTGTTTGGATCCTGACTCAGTGCTTGATACTGTCCGCGGATACGATCCCCGGCGGCAATCTTACGGAAACGCTTCAAATCGACCACGTACAGCGCCGAAATGTGGTACTTTCGGCCTTGCAAGTGGTTCCTCCAATATCCTTGTTTCCAAAATCGGAATCCTTCCATTTCCTGACGGGAGTCACAGAACGGAGTATAACCATACGGTGCTCCGCCGAGATCGAAATCATTGAGCTCCTTCATATCAGCACGAACGATTTGATCGGCATCCACGAAAATAAATTTTTTCACATCCAGTGGGAAAAGTACGTCCAGGAAAAGAATTTTATATCCCCAAATTATCCGTTGTTTCTCCGTTTGCTGATGCAACCACCGTGGCCATTTGTACTGTACTAGTTCGTACTGGAAATTGTACTCTTTGGCCATGTACGGCAAGAAGTCTATGAATTGTGGCGATAGATAGTTCTTCAAGAACCAAAATTTGACGGGAGTTTTGGTGTGCTTCAAAAGTGACAGCATCATAATTCGTAGCAGACGCTCGTACAAATGACCGGACGCAACAGAAAAAATGTTTAGCACTTCTTTATCTTGAGCATCACCGGATCCTACGATGGAACTAATAGAATCCCATATGCCACCACCGGAGTCCTTATCATCACCTAGCAAATCAGCACTAGCTTTGCCCGGTTTCTTGGTCACCCTTAGCTTCAATACGTGTGACTTCAACGAACTCATGATAACTCTTGTGTCGTCACTGGAGTGCACTGTGCTGGGTCCTTCGGCGCTGGTGATGTCGTAGATATCGGCACTCTTCCCGTGACGCAATTTCAAGATCCAAGCTCCTGGGTTTGCTTTCAGTTGGAAATAACCCAAATTGGCCATCACAATGGTATCGACAACAATAGGATGCTCCTCGGTGCCGAGAGTGATTTGTAATCCTCGTGGGGGAGATCCCGTTGTAGTGTCGAAGCAATGGCCCTCCAGTAGCAGATATTCCAGCTCGTAATCACTGTGCACCGGTCCGTTGATTTCCGAAAGCTTTATGTTGTCCAGGTCGTATACGGATCTCACCACTTCTACGAGCCAGTTCTCGGGCACCTGAAAGCGTAAAATAGTCGTTAGATATGATAATTCCTATGATCATGGGTGTAATTGGTAATAAGATTTACGTTGAGACTTTGAGTCAGCAAGGGATTGGCAGGCAATCCAACGAACTTGGCGTACGGACCCGGAGCGAGCTTTCCATCTGATGTGAATTGTAGTTCCGGTTCGACGACAAATCGGTAAAATCTGGAATATGCAAAAAATACAGAAGATGATGACGTCTCTAAAAATACGATTTTGTTATGGAATTTACAAGGCTACAACATAAATTGGATCCGTTGGTGATACGTTGCGGCAAAATGGCAGCTAAATCTATATTGACGTAGCTAGACAATTTTACTGGAGTGGGCCTATGGGGGGGTATGTTTGCTTTTTTGTTTTGTTAAACTACAGATAGAAACTCTGGAACTGCCAGTCAATCAAAAGGCGTCAAAGCTATTTGTTATTTTAGTTTCTTGTTGGATTCATTTTCACTTCATCCAATACGACCTATTATTTTTTTTTTTTGTTTATTAATTTATTTGGTGAGGCTCAACCGAATTAACTTTACAGAGCCGAGGATTCATGGTATACTATACAATACATCTTAAAAATATAGTCAAAAGGTACAACACAATAAACACTTTATCTTCCGCTATCCAAAAAGCCTCCTCCATCAGAACTGGAGCCGCTTCCAGTAGTTTCATTGTATGGCAAATTGTTGTACGCCAACGAGGGTCAGAGCGCGTCCATTGTAGCAATGGACGCAAAACGTGGTCAGCACTCACACACTCATCACGAAACGGTTGCTTTCCAAAGTCGACGACGCATCGACCGAAAGAACTGCTGATGAAAGCGGACCCGAAATCATTCTGGAATTACGTTAACGACCGAAAATCGACGAAAGGGATTCCTCAGAACATGCGCTACCAAGGAATGACTACCACTACGCAGCAGGAATCAGCGAATATGTTCTCGTCTTACTTTCAAAGTGTGTCAAGTAATAACTCACCACCTTTGTCTGTAACGTACCTGGACAGTATTCCGCAGTATGATGTAAACGTGCCACGGATGAATTTTTCACCAAACGATGTACTGCTCAAGTTGCAATCAATCGACGGTTCAAAAGGCGCTGGGCCTGACCAATTGCCTCCATTTGTCGTTAAACATTGTGCGAATTCTCTAGCGTTACCTGCAAGCATTTTGTTCAACCGTTCACTTAACGAGAAGTGCTTTCCTACGAATTGGAAATCTGCTTCAATCACACCAATTCATAAATCTGGTTCGCTCAACGATGTAGAGAATTATCGTGGGATCTCCATTCTCAGCTGTCTGCCGAAGATCTTCGAAAGCTTGGTGCATGATGTGCTGTACCAGTCTACCAAATGTATTATCTCTACTGAACAACACGGTTTCATGAAAAAGCGCTCGACCACAACGAACCTGCTAAGCTATGTATCGACTCTTGTGAATAGGATGGAAAAACGACAGCAAGTCGACGCTGTATACGTGGACTTTGCCAAAGCTTTTGATAAGGTGCCACACATCCTTGCAGTTGAAAAGTTCAAAAGGATAGGACTTCCTGAGTGGCTGACACAATGGATTCTGTCTTATCTCACAGGGCGCAGTTCTTCGGTGAAAGTCGGTGAGTCCTACTCTGTTCCATTCCAGGTTCATTCCGGAGTGCCTCAAGGCAGTATCTTGGGACCTTTGCTGTTTGTTTTGTTCATTAACGACCTCTGCATGAAGATAAAATCTCCAAAATCCTTGTATGCTGACGACCTCAAGTTTTACCGAGTAATCACGTCGCTGGTAGACTGCTGTGCGCTTCAAACGGATATCGACGGACTTCTGGAATGGTGCAGTTTGAATGGAATGGAAGCCAATATCAAGAAATGTTGCGTGGTTACATTCAGTCGTTCACGTACACCGATTGCTTTCGAGTACAGAATGGAAACTTGTTGCTTGAAACGTACGAGCACCGTTAAGGATTTGGGGATTCTCGTTGACAGCAAACTAAGGTTTGTCGAACACATCGCTTCAGTAACAGCCAAAGCGTATTCTCTGCTGGGATTTTTGAAGCGTAACACGAAACTCTTTGAAGATGTGTACAGTCTAAAGACGCTGTATTGCTCACTTGTACGCAGTGTTTTAGAATATGGGGTGCAAGTCTGGGCCCCGTACCATGCAGTTCACATCAATCGGATTGAACGAATTCAAAAGAACTTTGTTCACTGGAGAGATAGAACGAACCTGCCATCATATGAAAGCCGTTGCATGTTGATTGATCTACCAACACTATCAAGCAGACGAGTATTCCTTCAACGCATGCTCATCTTTGATGTCCTGACAGACCATATCGACTGTGCAGACATACTTGAGAAACTCCGCTTTAACACACCGTTTCGGGTGACGCGGCAACCGGAGTTCTTCCGCCGATCGAATCACCGTACTGACTATGGAATGAACAACCCTCTGGATGTCTGCTGTAATCGTTTCAACGAGGTTTCCAATATGTTTGATTTTGGTATGACTAAAACTGTGTTTAAGCTTAGAATTAGTAGATAAGTTATTTTTGTCTGTACGATGTTTTTATATATCGAAGATTTAAATACAAATAAATACAAATATGAAGAACAATGAGGAGGACCACACAATGGTTGCTGCCGAGAAAACAGCCGATCGCGTAGCACACATCAAGAGTGGTCTGCTTTTGTCGACAGCCGAGTGAACACTGAATACGACCTATTATGGCGAAGCTAACTATTATTGTAATGGTGAATATTACATTTTATTGTATTAATTTCATAACAACGCTTTATAAGCATACTGATTTTGAACAAGCAATGATCGTTTGTTTAAGCTTTTTGTAATGAAAAAATAACATATTGTTCGGATCTCATAAGGATTTTAAGGATCTCAAACTAATGTTAGATAATTCTAAGGGTTAGATATAATTTTGTAACTAGATTTTAATGAGATGATCCATATTTAATCAACAATCAAATCTCAGACATAGGTACCAACACTTAATTCTAAGACTTTTCATTTATAATTGAGGGGGTTAGAAGGAAAGGGGTGTAAGTGACTTTGATCGATTCTCTTCATCGACTTAAGGAGATAAATTAATCAAATTCTCTTGAGTTTTATTAAGGGAGCATACATTAATTACGTCACGCTAAATTTAGGGACAATCAACCCCTCCCCCCCCCCTTTCGTCACGTTTTTCCTATACCTAATGCATTGCTTGTCACATATTTGTAAATCGTGACGTACTTAATGGATGCTCCCTAAGAATGCAAAGATTAATTAAAAGTGGATTTCAAGGGTTTTCAGGAAGGAATTCTCACGTCACTTTTCAAAAATAGACCAATGTAACAAATGTAAACAAATCGAGTTAAGCGATACAAACTATTGCTCTTCTATCATTGCATGTGATACAAAAACACCCATCCAAATTTACTTTCATTTATTTAAGAAAATCTTAGCTCAAAAATTGTCCAATGTAAAGTTTGAAATAATGGGTACATGATTGTTACTTCGGTCATTCGGACTGCCTAACATGATTGGTGCTCGTTTTCTAAAGGCGGGGCAAATCTAAAGTTAGGTATTCTACTATGAAATCTGTGAAAGGGAATCTAGTATCATGTAGATCAAAACGTCCAATGTAACACTCATCCATTATGTCAGTGAGAAAAATCGTCCAATGTAACATGTCCGGTGTACAATGCGACTTGTCAAAACGTCCTATGTGGTTTTTTCTATGTTGTAACATGAAATTCAAAGTTAAATTGTGATTTTATCGTTTCTACTGAATTTTCAACGTTATTATTCACTGACTCCATTAAAAATAGTATTGCAAAATGTATTGTTTCTAAACAGTTTAAATAATAATCTGTCGAACTTCAACATCGATTTTCTCAAAATGGTGGATATGTTACATTGGTCTATTTGAAAAGTGACGCGAGAATTTCTAAAGTGTTCTACACAGAATTCCGAGATTGTCATTGTTTAGTTCGATAGCTTGGTGCAGGGAAATTAGTCACTAAATCACAACACACGATTTTGCCTTGAACAATTCTTAGTTTTATTGACACCTTTTTTACAGAGCGAACTGAACTCATTCACTCCTATGAATGGACTGTACTCTCCCTATTTTCTCCTAATCTCTGCTACCTGCCCAAACGTAGCAGGTTCATTCACGTTTGCGCTTTGTCCTTTCACGAGTCCATAAAAAAGCTGTTGTCTATAGTGTCCTGCGCCGCACTGCAACCAGTTTTTTTTTCTCTTTTATTCTGACATTGTCATTTTTCTTCCGTTCATTCTCGCGCGTTGAGATCTCTAGCTCTACAGATGGAAGAAAGGAAATCTTGGTTATTGCTCTCTTGTACTCGCCAGCCGTAGTCTTGATCGTCACTACACGGACCACGTCGTCGTTGCCAGGATGTAATGCGATTATCCGCCCACGTCTCTATTGCTGAGGAGGCAGATTTTCGTCAAGAAGCAGAACCAACGCTCCAGCATCGATTTTCTTCACGCTGCTATTCCACTTTTGCCGACCTTGCAAGTGATGCAAATATTCTCTGGACCATAGTGACCAGAAATGTTGTTGCATGAATTGAATGTGTTGCCACCTGCTCAATCGTCCAATCTTTTCTTCATTGTAGGAAGGTTCTGGTAGTGCCAATCCCGATCGCCCAATCAAGAAATGGAAAGGAGTCAGAACCGACCAATCGTTAGGATCATCTGACATTGGAAATAATGGTCGAGAATTTAAGACCGCTTTAGTTTGCGCCAAGAATGTGGTCAACTCCTCAAAAGTGAGCTTGGTTTCGCCGACGACGCGCTTCATGGATTTTACTCCAGCTTCCCAAATGCCACCGACTTCTTGGAGGAATTAAATGCCAGCAAATGCCCTTCACTGCACAAAACTCTTCCACTTTTCGCTGATGTTGTTGATCATTGAACAAGTCCCTGAGTGCAGCAAGCTCATGATTGGCACCCACCAATGCAGTTCCGTTGTCTGAATGAATATCACTTGGCAAACCAAGCTTGCTCACAAATCGGTGCAATGCAGCAATGAAGCTGTCCGTCGTGAGATTGGAGACCACTTCAAAGTGAATTGCCTTTACTACCATGCATACAAAAACAACCACATATGCTTTGTAAACCTTTGAACTTCTTCCTCCTAGCTTCAGTAGAAACGG